ACACAGGTTAGAAAATTGAATTAAGTTAAAAAAAAAAAATGTATGAGACTCCATGCAAGTCACAGGGCTAAATGACAAAATGACACTCCCAATTCCAAAAACGACTGTGGCAAACAAGAAACTACAATGGTTTGACTGAAATTAGGGATTGATTGCACTCTAAAGATTCCCCATACCCAAAATGAACAAAAAATGTCATTTTTTAAGGGGCTAATAAATTCCCAAATATACCACAATAAGCAGAGTTTAAACCCTAGTTGAAGAAATTCAAGGGGTAATTAGTGCAAATAAGCTACATCCTTCTTGTGAGATTTACAATTTACATTCACAATCCTATAAGTGGCAAATTGTGCTATTATGTCATGTTCGTGTTTCATAATCGTACTATTGTGTTATCTATTTTGTTCGATAGTAAATATGATAATAAATCCAAATTTAACTATTTAGCTACATCCTTCTTGTGAGATCTACAATTTACAATCACAATCCTACAAGTGACAAATTGTGCTATTGTGTAATTTCCGTGTTTCATAATCGTGCTTTTGTGTTATCTATTTTTCTTGATAGTAAATAATTGAGAAAACTACTTGGGACACGAGTCCATATCCTATTAATTGTAAATTAACGAAACCTCATATTTTATTTGCATACATACGATGATTAGCAAATTGACAATCAGTTTAGCCTACATTTAAGGAAGACTTATTTTTTTAATATTGGTAAGTTGAATTTTTTATGGTAAATGAACAGATTTTTCAGGATAAGATTTTTATCAGTAGCCAAATCAATCTTTTTGTTCCATTTCAATTAGAAATGTATCTGTATCTCTATTTCAATGTTAACCTTACAAAATGATGAATTAAACACCATCATAGTTAGGATAAAAAACCCTAATCGCCATTTTATTGTTCGTCCCTAACACAAGAAGAAAAAAATATACACTCATAATCTGTGCACATATACATAAAAGATGCATAAAATATACACTCCAGTTTCTCGTAATTCAAGTCATCGACAAATCGAGACATACATATACATAAAATATACATAAAATATACACTCAAGTTCTCGTAATACAAGCCAACGACAAATCGGGACATACATATACACAAAAGATACATAAAATATACACTCGAGTTTCTCGTAATTCTGGTCAGCGACAGATCGAGACATATATATACATAAAAGATACATAAAATATACACTCTATTTCTCGTAATTCTGGCCAGCGACAGATCGAGATATACATATACATAAAGGATACATAAAATATAGTCTCGAGTTTCTCGTAATTCAAGCTTGAGTTTTCGAAATCTCCGCAATCAAACGCCCGTTGGAGGACCTGGAGAGGGTGCCGGCGAGGCCGGTGCCGAGGGAGAGGGCGGAGATGCGGTCTAGGGTGGGGGGTGCAGGTGACGCCGGCAAAAGAGGTGAAAGAGTCAGCGGCGGCGAAGGTGAAGTTCCAGTTGAAAAAGAAGCAGGCAACGGAAGGGATCTTGGTGAGAGAGTAACATGAATTATATACATAACATTTATGTATATACACTTCCGAATTAAATGCCCATCAGTTATGGAATGTCAAAACAACAACATACCTTTTTTATTTCATCATTTAATTATCTAGTATTTATCCAATTACATAAGGTTAATACCGTATATGTGCAAATAAGTTTGCAAATGTGTAAATTTGCAATTACTTAGCAACATATACAGTAGAGATGTAAATTGCCCAAAATAATTTAACTATTTTTTATGTCTCACGTCATGTTACCTGTTGTGTTATATCGTGCCTATCGTATTATTTATTTATATAATTTTGTTTTCCACTCGTATGGTGTTCGTATTTCATATCGTGGAACCATATTGCCACCTTTCCACCATCCTTAGATTTAGCATAATAAAGCAACTTTCCTTTTCTAGAATAAATAACAATCACCACATTTTTTTAAAATTAACTATGATTAATCAAAATAATTCATTTTAAACAAATTATTTCATAAACAATCAAGCCCTTAATACATTATTAAAATTCCACTAACACCTAATCATACTACTTTTGTCAAAATTAACTTTGATTAATCAAAATAACTCATTTTGAACAAATTATTTCATAAACAATCAAGCCCTTAATATATTCTTAAAATTCCACTAACACCTAACCATACTACCTTTTTCAAAATTAATTATAATTAATCAAAATAACTCATTTTGAACAAATTATTTCATAAACAATCAAGCCCTTAAATTTTGTGTCGGTGGCTTGGGATGCAAAAGAAAGTGAATTAAAAAGAGTAGAAGCCATAATTGGGTTTCAACATAATGTTGCATGATAGTCAAAAGTATATGGGCCTGCAGGGCCCATAACTCCAGTCTTCGAGGCTCACATTAATCATNCAATAGGTTACTCTTTTCTTTCTAATTAACAAAAAATGAAAGTGACCAAACTAAAAATTCATTTGTCAAAAACTAAAAGTCACAAGTAGTGAAATGTATGCTTATGTTCTATGCCACATAGAAACAAACAGGAATGGGCCATTTGAAGTTCTCAAGTACAGTACTTGACAATGCTTACAAGATAAGCCCATCTGAATACGAATAGGGCCCAGGTGAAACCTTATCTAAATCCAGAATGTGACCCACAATAATTCACTATTGAATAATTTGAAATTGTATCAGTAAGAACAACAAACAGATATTATCCCATCACCTACGTAATCAGAATTTATCCTTGCATGTATTGTACAGTTTTCAGCTCAGCATAAAATAATTTTTTGTTTTGCTTACTCGAGAAAAATAGGAAAAAATTGATATCCCAATAGTTGTTTTTGGGGCATGGAGTACAATCACATTAAATCATTTCTGATCATGATAGATGTTACACAATTACTAATCTTGTCAGGTTGTACACGAAGGTACAATGACGTAATCTCCTCAGATCCCATAAGATGCAATACAGTTACATAATATCTTCAGATATGCAAGATGATGTAATAATGTTTTGGTGTGCAGATGAAAGAATTAAGAGCAATAAGATACCTTTTCTGTTTTCCTTTCTTCTTTGTTCTCTTTTTCTTTTTGAATTGGTTTGAATTTGCCCCTCTAGTGAGTTTAATTGTGAAATTTTTTCACCACATCTTAGCCATAAGAATGCTTTGCACCAGGACGATACTCACCGATACCTAGCAAGTCCTGCAAGTAGGAAATAGCAGTGATTGTTTGGGGACTTGATTCGACACAGAAACATAGTGAACTGTGCAAATAAAATTTAAGCATTGTTTTCCATGTTCGAAAAAAAGTAATGAGCGAAGAGAAAACTAAAGGAAATCCTTCAAATTTTTATCGCCAATACCAATCGAGTATTAATGATACCACCAGAATACATAGAGTACAGGTGATTGCGATAAGTGGATTTAGTATTGTACTGCTTTCTCAGTCTCCATTTAAAAGCTAACCGCTTGCCAGTATTAAACTATTAATTACTCATTTGGAGTTCCATCACTAAGCTTCATTCTACCTCTCAACCATATTCTATTTCCAACTAATCAGTAAGCTCATTGAGTGATATCATATCCCATAATCCCAAATCCTTCGGAGGAAGTACAGTAAGGATGCGCAATTGAATTATCAACATGATCACAAATCTTCCCAAAACAAATGCAAGAGATGGATGTAGCATTTCTATAGCACGGTGTGCATGTAATTACGTATATTATATTATTATTATTATTATAAGATAACACTCACCTGGCATGCCCTGTTCTTGGCTCTAGTTTCAGCTGTGCTTGGAATATCGTGATTGGGTTTCTGAAACTTCTTCTCTCGTCGTTCACATGAACCCCATCCATCTGAAAACCTTCCACCCCTATCAACAATAGAAACAGGGAAGATAATAGAATTCTAGTGCAAGGACTTTCTTTAAATGAAAGCTCACCCAACTTATGAAAAATACCCAATGTTGGAGGAGAAATAAAGGAAACATACTGCATGTATGCACGAACAATGAACTCAGCACGCTGAACATTGCGGTTGTCATCGTACTCGATGGTCTTGTCTTTAATTTCATAAGAAAGATTGAAGTAAAATGAAATCTTCCTCCAGCCTGTTGTTGCAAATGAACCTTAATCTCTTACATCCCAGATTCACTTGCCAACTACAGTTCAAGGTGAATGAATAATACAATCTTCAGTTTTACCTGACTTCTTAATATAAGGATTTCCAGATATCATGGTGTAGTCATTTTTCTCCAATATCTATCAAGAAGATATCAAGACAAAGTTAAGGGCACGTTCTCACGAAAAATATGCAAAGAGAAGCTATGATCATTCAAAAGAGTCGAATTATGCTTCCATATGTGTGACTAACTTTAAAGCTTAAGAAGCTTCCATCTTATTCACATTTCTAATCAGGTCGCCAATTAGTTGTCTAACAATGGAGGGCTTTCCATGCCCTGAGAATACGCTCAGATAAAGATTTTGTGTTCTCTGCATTCCCTGATTGATCATTATGTATCTTGCAAAATCAGCTACTAAAACTCATAAATATGGATGAATGCCACATGCTAATTTCAACGACTTTGAAAATTATAAAAATAAAATGGTTTCATGAAAGGATAATCTCTGTTTTGCAACCCCTCCTTTGCGTTCATGAAAGCCATAAGCAACATTCATAACAGATAATTTCACCCAATTCAATGTACAAATTAGCAGACGAACATGAATCACCCAGCTATATATTGAACAGAAGTCGAACTAAAAAACCTCAAGTATCAAAACAGAGAACAGATAGATTAACTGCTTACCGCCATAGCTGCATTCTGGTAATCCTTGAACAACGAAACAGTGGGAAACTGACCGGCCAAACAGTGCCTCGTCTCCACTTTCTCGTAACTCGCCTCTGACCCAATCGGACCATGAAAACTCGTCACTGCAGAACTACTCATTCCCATCGAGCCAGTACCATACGCCGGCGAAGAAACCTCCGGCGTGCGGCTCACCTGCTTCACTATCGCCAGCTGCGGAGGGCTGGACGCGTGAACGCGCGGCGTCTCGGCCGTTCTGAAGATCTTGTGAGGACGATTGTTCTGCACTACCTCGCCGTCGGGGCTGTGGTTGTAACTACGGCGGTAGCTTTGAGGGGAATTGAGGGGAAATGGAATGGGAGTCTGCGGTTTGGTGCGGGGTCTCCGGGTCACGGCGGAGGAGGCGGCGGCGGCAGCGGCTGAGTCAATTACCGCCCATAATGCGGCGTCGTCAAGGTCCTTATCGTCGACGGCGAAGGCGATCGGCGAGCTCATTTATGGCGGAGCGATTTTAAATCGGGGAAAATTGGATTTTGAGCTGTTTTCGAGTTCGATGATGAGAGTGAAAGTGTACCGCGCAGCGATTTGAAACGGAAGTCAGTGAACGAAGTCGTTGAAATACTGGGCTGGGTTAGGCTTAGTCACTTGGTTATTTGTTTGGGCCTCTTATCGCTGGATTTGTTGAAAACTATGGCCTAGTGGTGGTGGGTTCCTTGATTCGATCAAAAGTTGTAATTGGGCCTCTTACTGGATACAATTTTGTTTATNNNAGATGAAAAGTGACAAAAAGTTGTTTTTGAAAAAAATAAAAGGAGTAGTTTAAGATTATAAATTTATATGAGATAAAAAAAAAATTATATAATGATTAAAGTTGGTGTGATATAAAATAATATAATTTTAATTGATAGTGAATGATAATTTCGTTGAAGAATATATAATAACTACGATTTTTTATTTTTTAATTTGGTTAGGAGGATACTAGGATTGTAGAAGAAAAAAAAAACCAGATGAAATTAATAGTATTTATATGTGAAATCTTATGTTTCTTTTCTTCTTCCATTGAGATAAAGTTTGACTAAGAAAAAGTACAAAAACGTTACTAATCTACCGCTCCCTACTAAAATAGAAACCATTAATATATTTTTTTACCAGGTAATTTTTAAATGTAAATAATGAAATATTCAATTAGGGTATATAAATTCTTTTGTAAGGCAGCTTAATCGTTAAGCAGGTCGATCTATCATACCTTTTTTTTATAGAAGTGCATATTAATGCAATTAAATATTACAATTTTGCTTTTAGTACTTTAAATGTGACATTTCAATTTGAAATTTTAAATATCTTCTCAAATAATATGATGGCTCGACCGTTAGGCATGTAAAACAACATACTTAATAATTAAGATAATATGGACTATGGAACCATATATTTGAAATATTCCTTGGATTTAGCCATATATTTGAGGTATTCTTTTTGGATTGTGCGATTTTCTTCTAACAATTTACTTATGTATTAGATATACTACAATTGGAAGAATTGCAAAATATGTATGTAAGTGTATTTTATACTTAAATTGGTTCTTAAATTGCAGCTAATTGAAAATAAACAAATAATAATAAAATTGATCCACTAAATTGTCCGTTTTTTAAAATTATACATTAATTTAAAGCTCATCAATTTTTGATACACTAAATTGTACAATCATTGAAAAAATTCGTTTGCCAAATTAGTGTACCCATAGCACATGGACATTTTTCAATGATTTTTATATTAAAAAAAGTCGATTTAGCGACCTAGGCTAGCTAACAAATAGACCTTTTTAATGGTTTTTTCAAGCTATTGTAGTAAATGATCACAAAATAGTGTATTAATGGTACAACACCGGTATAATATATTATTGTTTGAGAAAAAAAATATTTGTATAATAAAAACTGAATATATAAAAATATTTCTTATTGTAAAATTATATGTAGGATAAATAATGAATAACTAATAGAGTGATAACTATTTAAAAATAATACAAAACTTTTACCTTCAAATTTTAAAATTGATAATCATTTTAATTATATTTATTGTATTTTATAGTTAATAATATTCAATCATTTAAAATATAATGTAATGTTTATCAATCCGATGTTCTACGATTTTATGAATTATGATTAATAATTTTAAATTTTATATTTACTTGTATTTTTTATTTCAACAGTATAATAACGTTCAATCTTTTATAAATTTTATAATTTTGTTACAGGTGTTTCAATCCTTTAATCCACGTCCAAAGGAGTCCTATTAAGTACGTTACATATGTTTCGAGTAATATTTTTCATTAAATTAAAAATATGTGAGTTGAATATGTTGCTAGATATATATACACAACGAAATTGGCCTCCGATGGATTTTATAAAAAATATAAAATCAAATTATGAAAATAATTTTCGTAATATTTTATAAAGTCCTAAATTAATTTAATTTAAATTTTGACCAAATGTACATATAACGAATGTACGATTGCCTGTAATTTAGAATTTGATCAAATTTACATCATCACGAATATAAGATTATTTGGAAAATTGCAATTTTAAGCTACTAAGTTGGGGTATATCTCATTTTTACTAGTAATGTATTGGAATTCTAAATTGGTCTAGTAATTTTTAATTTTCAATTTAGTCCAGCAACTCTTAAATTTTAGCCAATTTGGTCCAAAATTTTCCAATTTTCAATACCTCTATAATTTAAGAATTGTTAGATCAATTTCAAATCAGATAATTGTTGGATCAGATCGGCTAAATTTAAGAGTTATTGGATCTTCGGCCGATTTGGGTCGAAAAAAAGACTTATAATAAATTAATGGGCAAAAATAAAAAAACATGTTAAGTTAGTGGATTAAAACTGCAATTCTTTTCACTGTGATGCATATGAAAAAAGTTAGAAAATCAAATTCATAAATCATATGAAAAGTCAATAATTTTCATAATGTTTTTTAAAGTCTGAAATTAATGTAATTTAGAATTTGACCAAATTTACGTCATCACGAATGTAAAATTGGCCCATCCAGGATATTCTAAAAAAATTAAGAAAAATCAAATTCAGAGGATTTAGTAAAAAGTCAATAATTTTCATAATATTTTAATTAATGTAATTTAGAATTTGACCAAATTATCATCATCACGAATGTAAAATCCCCATGTCCTCGTATATAAAAGGTTAATCTTTTCAACTCTAGCGCCATATTTTTTCAAGGCATAACTATAGAAACTCGATGTCACGATGGAATTGGTAGTGTTCAAAAATTACTTTTGTAATGCAGCAAGGATGTTTTACAAGGATGATTCTTCTTAGTAAGGTAAAATTTATGGGACTATTATTAGTTAATCAAAAAATTACATGTAATGGCTGCATTCCATTAAATTTTCCGTTGAATTTGATATTTCTAGCCAAAATCAACCTCAAATTAGATAATTATAAAAATTATGGGACTATTATTAGTTCATCAAATTCCAACAAAATTTAAATTTTACACCATCATATTTTTTGGACTATTTTCAATATTTCGCCCAATCAATTATTAAAAACTAATAATGCACTAGTGAACATTACAAGTCATGACACGTGTAATTCTAAATACATATCTTTGTAACATATGGTTAGACAATTTATTTTTGTAGTATTTGGATCAATGAGTCACACTTACTAAATCTAGAAAAAATGAAACAAAATTTTCAATTGCAATTTGTATACCTTTCACAATAAAATTTAATTGGTATTTAGTAGCCTATCTTTTATTATACTTCATATGCGTCACCATCACTAAAGTCATCTTTTTGTGCAAAAAAATAGGGACACCCACACTAAGCGGAAAGGGGACAACATCTTTTTTTTCTTTTTTTTTTTNGGTGCTTCTTTATTTTCTCAATTTTTCTTACACAATTTTGTTGCTTTACTTTATGATATTTATTAAATAATCAACATTGGATATTTAAGATATATGTCTTGTTTGGCAATTAGCATTGTGGCGCCAAATTATAAGGGGTTTAAATTTTTTGCTTCACTTTCATGTTCTGTTTCGTGTTTCATTCTGTTGAATAATTGACATGTGTACAAATATGACATCATTTCGAACAAGTATCATTCATCCAACGGAATGAAACACATAATGAAATATGAAAGTGGAGCAAAAAAGTCTCATTCCAAATTATAGATGTGAGGTGAATTAGAGGTTAATTTGACCCATCAAAATATTTAATTTTTTATTCGGTAAGTATTGGTTTGAAATAGTTTTTTTTTGGTATCCCAAAGCCTTTTTTTTTTTTACACAAGTATCAAATAGAAACATATTTTAATAGATTATTGCAATTCCGTTATCTTTACATTCAAACAACTAATTATTTATCAAATAATTATGCATAATTAGCTAGTCCAATAATCTCGTTAAATATACAAATTCAATATCAGCTATGAGCTATTTGTCATCAGATAATTAAATCACTATCAATTTTACCACAAATTCAATCAGCTATGAGCTATTTGTTATCAGATAATTAATTCACTATCAATTTTACCCTATATGCTATGTACCAAACATAGCCATAGTACTGAACTGAGGAAAAATTCACATTATCATATTTTTTTTAATTGAATATTTTTGAAACTCGAGTCACATTGTATATGTGATTTGATTTAATCCATAAAAGTACAATATGAGGCTTGATTTGCGTAACCAACGCAAACATCCTCTGATGTCAAAATCTAATATACAATTCCACTTTTTATAATCTTACACNATAACATTACAAAATAAATTACTCAAAAACAATATAAAATTTTGAAAGCACTTTGTTTGAATAATCGTCTTTATTTAATTCACATGCTCGTTTGAAATTGTACCTCAAGTTGCTGAAAATGGAAGTTGTTGTACGTAGATGCATACAGTTTTTCACACTGAAAGAAACAAAAGATGAATTCAAACGACATTATGAGCATTTATACATCTCTGTGTCACGTTTTATGTTGGATTTAATGCTAGAAATTTAAAACAAAACTTGTACGAGAAATAAAAATGAAAATCGAAAAACAAACGGCTAAATCAGCTATAACTTCTCAAGAAATATTTGTATTTTTAAATTGAAATGTCACAGTATTAAAATAAATGTATACAAAACTATGTTAGTTCATGAGTATACATTTTATTACTATTTATCTTATTCTCTACATTATATAACACAAGAATTTGTGAAAAGAAAAGTAAGAGAATATGTTCTCTTCTTTTCATAAACATAACACCTAGATTGCAAAAGAAGTTTTAGAAGCAGTTGAAAAAAAAAAAGTGAAAAAAAAAAGAAAAGAAAAATGTTTCTAGTCCTTGTCACCTCCTTTTCAAAGTCTATACGAAGCCTATTTTATTATTTTATTTCATGAAATTATAATGCAAATACCAAATAAAAAATAATAAAATACACAACAACAATAACAACAAATTTGTTGTCTCCACTCTAATTATATATGTGTATATTATCCTATGAATACCTCATTACAACATGATGATCTATCGAAATAAAAGTCCAATAAAAGTATATAAATCCCCCTCAAAAGAAAAAAAAAATATATCAAAATGAAATGAAAAATCTCATTTCTTTATATTGTAAAAATAAATAATTAAATCTCACGACACTGCCACTCTTATAAACTACCGATTCAAATCTCACGATCGGCGTTCATGGCCGCCGTCGCCGCTGCTCTTCCGAGCTCTCTTGTTTTCCGGCTCGTCTCCACCGCCGTCCTCCTGATTCCGGCCGTCCTCCGACTGCAAAACTGACTCGACCTCCTCTGACGCGTCGAATTCCACGCACCGGCGAGCCGCCGGCGACCTCGACCGCCTCCTCTTCGGGCAGGGCTTCCTAGGCGCCGGCGGGCACACAGTGGGCGCCGGAATCCTATGCTCCGACGAAGTCGGCGTCCGGAACCCGTCTTCCTCGTCTTCCACCGAGATAATTTCCTTTCCCGTTTTACCCTCAGCCTCCTTTCTTTCTTCCCCGTCCCCGTCGCCGGTCGTGCTTTCCGAGTCCGACGTGTCTCCCGGCCAAGAATCTTGATTTTCCGGCGAGGGGCTTTCGGTCTGGCCGGCGCTCTCTCCTCTTTCATCCTCCTCCTTACTAATAGGATGTGGGCCATCGCCGTCTTCGCCTCCGCCGCCGTCGCCGTTGCCGTCGTGTGACATAATCCTCCTCAAGATGACGAGCACATGAAAATAACGGAAATTTGTAGAGAGAGAGAGCTCAGAAAGAAAAAGGGATTTTTAAATTCGAGAAAATCAAGAAAGTGAGAAGGGGATGTTAAATAGATGATCAGAGCATAAAATCACCAACTAACCCATCTGTTTTTTGCTGTTTTCTGGAGGATTTATCACAGTTTGCCCTCAACTTTTTTGGGGAGAGTTTAAGAAGAGAGAGGAGAGAAGGGAGAGAGAAAATGAGGTGCGTTTTGCTTCGAACAGTATTATTGGCGAAGGATCCGATGTACACTAACTCTCATAATCCTATTTTTACCTTTTCTCACTAATCAAATCTCGACCATTTCTCTCCCTCTTTAGTTTCTCTCTCACACACGCACACGCACTAATAAAGCACGAATACCACAATTTTTTTTAACCATTTCAAGTTTAATCTTGCATGTCCATCTGATTCGACTCGACTTAAGCTCGGCTCGATTCGATAAAATTCGAAAAGTTAAATTTTACATAATTTTTTATAGTTTGGCTCGAACTCATCTCGTTATTAGTAATAAAAGAATTTTAAACTCGTTTATTTAACAAGCCGAGCTTGAGATCGAACACCCTAAGCTCGAGCTCGTTGGCTCGTTACAACCTTACTTACAGGTATAGTTTATGCAATTTTTTCATGTTAATTGCATCCTTCGGTTATTCGAGTTGATTCGATTAACTTATGTTCGGATATGTGCTTATTTAAATTTGACAAAAGAATAAAAAGCTCGATTCAAACATAAATCGTCTAAGTTCGGTTCAGTCAGTCGACACTTTTAGGAAACCTAAAATCCCCAATAAAATCATGAAGTGTTTGAACACGAAATGGTTCGAATACAATTATGTTTTGAAACTCGTAAAAAACTAAAAAGAAAATGATATTTACGAACAAACTCAACTCGAGACATTTAGATTAAATAGTTGTTTAGGTTTGACTCGTTTAATAAATAGACTCGAGCTTTCACGTGTCGAAAGAGTTCTGTTCACAAATAGTTTGGTTCAAGTAGCACCTCTCATAAACACTTTTACAAGGTTGATATGAGTGCAAGGTTAAAAAAATACCTAGAATATCATTTAATTTTGAACAAAAAAATAATGAATGTGAAAATATTTTATTTATTTATGAATTGAGTAAAGTTTACTTCATCGTTTCAAAATGAAATATGCATTTATATTTAGAATGTCCCTTTTGTTCTTACTTTAGATGGATAGTGCCACTACCAAAAAAAAAAAATGTCATATTCCATCGAAAAATCTATGATAATATATTTCAATGAAAATTCAAACGGATATTTTAATGGTATAGTTTTCCTTGAAATCATTACAACGGAAGTATTCTTTTGGAATGAGTTTCCTATTAGAATTTTGTATGAAATTTTATGATTCCAACGACTATGTTTTTAACGAATTTTTTATTATTGGAATATGTAATTTCTGTTAAAATTTTTATTGCCACCCATATTTCAACCGTTGTAAAAGCTAACTTTCGAATCCTCAAAATCCAACGAAAGTTCTAATAGAAAACTCATTCCAAAAAATATTTTTGTTGGAAACCAATAAAAATAAATTAAAATAATAATATTGAAATATCTATTGGAATTTCATTGGAATATATTTTTGCTGAAATTTTAAATTTTTCTTGTTGTAAGCTTTGTAGAGTGGAATAATTAATATAATTGCATAATTGAATAAAATCATAATTAATTATCATTTTACTGAATTTTTTTCAAATATAATTTTTAGATGATGTAAATGTGTGAATTATCGTAAATATATATATTTGTGAGAGGGGTAAAGATTTATAATAATTGCAAGCCTCCTTTGCATTCTTTATTTTATTTTATTTTTTCTCTATAAATTTAGCAATTTGATGTAACCTATGCACGTGGTTTGCTACATGGGGACCATATTTTTGTGACAATCACAAAAATCCTTTTTTCTCAATTACACGATCTCCCGTTCATGATTTCAGATTTCTCATGCTCTTATGGTTTATTTTGGAAGCAATTGCACTGTCTCCCAACATGATTTTGTTAAAGAGTGTTCTTTAAAACAATAATCATTTTTTCATTTTTTATTTTTACCAAAAGAAGTAAAAGAAAATAATAAACTAATGGAAGTAATGTTGGAAGAAGTATCCTAGAACAAATTTTTTTGTGGAAGATAATATAATAATTAGGGAATCGACTTATTATACTTTTTTTTTTTAACAAAAATGCTTATTTATATTATAAAATGACATACTTTTATTTATGTTATTTTCTAGAATTATATATCAATCTTGAAAGAATACAACCATTCTTATAGATTAAGCAAATGGCCCAAAATAAATGGAAAAGAATCATATTATTGGTTGTCTAAGTTTTTGACTCCAAACTAGCAATCTTGCTAAATGAAATTCTAGTGTCTGGAAGTGGCAAAATGTGTTGATTATTGAAATTTAATGTTCAAAGGGGCACTAAATTAATATAATTTGAAAGATCACCTAAGCTAAATCTAGCTAATAGCTATAATACATCACATAATTAGCACAATTGTATAATATGTCTAGTTGTGACATATGACAAATTTATTCAGTAAATTTTATGATTTATAAAATACTACTAGTTAATAAAAACCGAGTAGAATATGTTAAAAATGCAAAAAATCACCGTCTAAATATTGGTAAAAAAATACAAAAAATACTAACTCGTGTGTTGTGTGGAATATGTTTGCAATTTGATTACTAATAAACATTTTCTACAATTGCAAAAATTATTAAACAAGATCGCAATCATGTGCTATAAGTTACGGGCATATTTTGTGAATTTGTTTAATTTATAATATATCAAAATTTGAAGAATATATGGATTGTATATTATATCAAGACAATCTGATTTATCTTATTTTTTTTTAATTGTGTATAATTCGATCTAATTTATCTTATTCTTTTTTTAATTGCGTATAATTCACTCTCAAATCTTCTTTTTGTGCCCTTTTACGAATGTGAATTGTGATTGACCGGTTGGTCAACCTCAGTTCCGTTAACTTAGAGTTGTCCACGGGCCGAACCGGCCCTGAACCGGCCTCCAAGGGGCGGTTCGTTGAACCGGACCCGTCGGGTCGCGGTTCGGTTAAGGTTCATTTTTTTTTTATTTGGTCCCGGCGGGCCGGGCCGGGTCGACGGGTTGAAAAACGGCGAGAGTGTATTTTTTAGCGGGCCGCACCGGCCCGGAACCGGCCAAAAACCGGCGGGTCCGTGACCCGGCGGTTCAGGGCCGGTCCGTGACCCGCGGCCCTTAGAAAATACGGGTCGGTCAAGGGTCATGAAATTGCGACCCGTGGACCCAGCGGGCCGGGCCGGGTCGGGACCCGGCCCGTGGAATGGCCACCCCTTTAACTACACCAAAAGATAAAAAAGGACAAAGTAGGAAAATTAAAAGAAATATGCTGAATGGTTGATATACAAATATTTATCCCGGCCCGTGGAATGGCCACCCCTTTAACTACACCAAAAGATAAAAAAGGACAAAGTAGGAAAATTAAAAGAAATATGCTGAATGGTTGATATACAAATATTTATTAAATTTGGTATCGGATAAAACAAATAATAACACCACAAAATTTTGTATGAGTCAGTTCAGTCGCTATATATTTTTAACAAAATACATACTAATTTTATGAAAGATGTAACTTTTTCTTAGATTTTAACATTTAATTTAATTTAAATATATGTGTAAATATTTAATAAACACTATGGCCGTCTGGATTCTAATTTTCCATCTTTCTATAAAAACAAATGTACTAGCCGACTCAGAAGCTGTGATCGTCTATTCTAATGATTGGCCGTTCGTATAGATTGTCCAATGTGGGGATGTGTGTATATAAATTGGATTTTTTTCGTGAAAATTGTTTTTCTTTTATTTTTTTCTTTTTCTGTTTCTATTTTTTGGTGTTTGTCTTTTAGTTTTTCTATTTTTATTTACTCCATTGTTGCCAACTAAAATGATTTACNAGATTGTTATACGAACTGTATATAAATGCAATTCAGTTTGGCTCGTGAAAATTCGAACTTGACCTGTTCATTCGCCTAAGCGAGCTAACTTTGAATAACTAATCGAGATTTTTTTATTAAACGAGTCGAATTGAGCTCTTTCGCGAATAACTCGTTTATTTATTTATAGTTTTGATATCTTTCGAATAGACATACGAGTCAACCATATATGTGAATATATGAATCGTATCTGCGGACAAATCATCGATTTTATTAGGTCACAAATATTGTAAACTAGCCGAGCATTTAGCTCGTTTATTAAACGAACACAATTTCGAATACGAAGTGTTCATCTCGGCATTACTCGAATGACACCATAATTGAGATGGAAACAACAAGGGAAAAAAAAAATATTAAGATACGTGCAATTTGTTATTTGAAAATTTCAATACTTATTAGTGAATTTTGAGAATAAAGCATATATATTCGTCAAAAGTCCAAGTGTCCAATAACTACGAACGAGATTGGTAGGGGCCTATGCTATACTACTAATTATTTAATATATCTTAATTACAACCGAAATAGGTGAAGTATATGAATCGATGATATAAAATCCAATTAAATTTCCACGTGGAGTCATAAATAAAGAGTGCTAATATTTTGACTTGCTAGCTCATGGAAAATGAATTTTACATGAATTATTGATAATATAAGATAATGTATTATATATTAATTTAATATCCATGATCACCGAAAAAATATATTTACTAGACCAAGCATATTATATATACATTTAACTAAATGTCATATTTATTTACGTCATAATATATATAAGATAGAGTACAACACCCATATATATATTTTATACGGGCCTTGGTAAATAATTTATACCTAATTAAAAAAATTAAGTTTTTATTATATATTTAAATAATTATATGTTCAAAATATTGTTATTTATATTAAAATGCAAATAGTCACTTGTACAGCATACTATTTATATTATAATATATTTATTTATTTTTAATTCATATTATGTGATGGACTTGATAGAAAAATATATAATATATATTGGATTATTTTAAAACCTTATATATAACTTGTAAGTTGTAACCACTAACCAATCTCACACAATTAACCTCAA